ATACCCGAAAGGTGGCAGCAGCAGCCCTTGATAGCCATGGATGGAATAGAGACGGTACTCTTCCGCCCGTTGGTAACCTGCGCGCCCGTGTGTGCTTCTCCATGATCCGCGATGACATATTTGAGATTGCTCTGGCAGTCAGACCCGTGGTAGTTCCAGCGCTACAAACTCTCATGTACGTATTATCTCGTGGGTCTTCAGAGTATGATGCTGACTGGTTTCAGGGGTATCAAAGAGCGACAGCTGCAAGCTTATGCCCAGCTTCCGTCAGCGATGCGTTTGAACACGGCGGAGGTAAAAAATTCGACGCTGAACGACGGTACGCTCTATACACTGATGGTTGTGCACCTGGAGCACCTGCAAAATCTGTTTTTCGTCGAACAATTGCTCTTTCGTGGGGGGCATACGAACAACGACGACCTGTTGCGAGTGAGCTTCGAGATGGTGTCAACTGCCGTGATGTTCTGGACCAACATGGATCGATTTACCCCGTTGCATTGGGACTTCATGTGGCTGGTGAGTTCAATCTTCTCTGTACGGATTGCGAAACCGCTCTTGATGATTCTGACTTTGATCGCAGGTAATGGCGTACGCCGCTCCGGGCGGAGGTGTTCTCTGCCTAGAGCTTCTCAGGCCTACACCCGCCGGTGACCCTCAAAACCCCAAACCCTCCCGCTCCAATATCATCCAACAGCTCAGTCTGCTGGTCGGTTTCCTGTCCTGGGTCAAGCCCTCCGCTCCGAATGCAGACCTCTGCGCCGACTGCAAAGTCGTGATCCAGCACGTACTCGACCACGCACTGAATGATACGGGCGCCGTTGGCAACGCCCTTCCCGTGGACATCTCAAGCTGGGACGTGTCTGCGCAGCTGGACTTCAACTTCGACCTCATGGACACTTTTGACTGGCTGCGACCGGATTTCACTTGAATGCTGCCGCGTCCCGGATGTGGCGGCTCAAATCTCGGAGGATGTCCCGGGAGTGGCCCCCCACACTTCCGACCGGCAACACCTTTTCGGCCGGCGCTGGCATCGGCGCCCCCAAAACAGGCAGGAGCGGAAGGTCCCTACAGCGAGTTGTCTCACCAGCGGAAATTACTTTCCACTGCTACATAGGCAGAAAAAGCCAAGCGACAGTTTCTGCTTTATCCCTTTAATCACTCAACTGAGTTGTCGAACGTCAAGCTTCGTTGCCAACGAGGCCACCAGTCACTCGTCTCGTTCAAAGACTCAAGGTCGAAGTCTTCATCGCAAGCTCGCAATCGGTTAGAGCTGTAGCTGTCTCACTACAACATTGCAATCTCCCGTCTCGGCAAGACATTCCCCTAAAGAACGCGACTACAGCGTGGCTCAACCGCTGTAAAGGCCCCTGACTCGCTCCACCAGCGGTACCTGGTGTCGTTGATTGGGCGCTATTAAAAGGAGCACTATCCGGGAAGCAACAGTACGACGCGTCAAAGCCCCGCAATCAGGGGCATGTCAAAATCTTTCCAGTGCCGAAGCTGTGCCTTACAAGGCGACGTATCTCTTTCTTTGAGTTATCGTAAACTTGGATTTCTTTTTCGTATCCGGTTGAAGAGCAATCCCTTTGGACATGATCTTGTAAACGCCGCGCTTGCTCGGTTTTCCCCCTCACAAACCCCGAGTCAGCACACTCCAAGCAGGGGCGCTCACCAAATCTTCGACGACCATGACGGCCCCCTGCGATAGCGGCCGCGCGGTCTCCACGATGGAGAACGCCACAAAGCGGGAGCCGTCGGTAGCTACTGCCGTTGGTACGGCGAGCGAGGATTCAAGTGTCAAAGACGACCAGAAGGACTACGACACCGAGAAAGACACGACGGTGGAGTCTGAAAAGGAGGAAATCGGACCGCTTCAACAGATTCTCAGCACCCGCCAGCTGGTTATTTTGATTACAGTGTAACCCTTCTCTCAATTCTAGAATTCTTCAGAATAAGCACTTTGGCTAACTCTCACCAGCGTCTGGTTCTACAACTTCACGTTGGGCTTTTCCTCCGGGATTTTCAAAGTCTTGACCCCATATGTCACGAGCGACTTTAGCCAGCATGCTCTCACAGCAACAACAGCGGTCGTGGCCAACGTCACTAGCGGCATCATCAAGCTGCCGTATGCAAAGCTCCTGGACCTCTGGGGAAGACCCCAGTGCATGGCCTCGATGGTGCTTTTCACGACCGTCAGCGCCGTCATGATGGCCGCTTGCCAGAACGTCGAGACCTACTGCGCAGCACAGGTCTTTTACTACATTGGCTTCTTTGGCATCCAGTTCAGCTTCACCATCCTCATCGCCGATGCCATCCCCATGCGACATCGGGCCTTTGTCATGGGCGTCCTCGCAACTCCGTCACTCCTGTCGATATGGGCGTGCGGTCCGGCAGCGGAGAGTGTCCTGGACACCATTGGCTTCAGGTGGGGATTCGGCATCTGGGCGATTCTGATCCCGGTTTGCTCCCTGCCTCTGCTGTACTTGATGTTCAAGTACGACAAGCAGGCGCGGGATGCCGGGCTTATTTCGAGACCGATCCATAAGCAGACTTGGCAGGAGAATTTCATTCACTACTGCAAGGAGTTCGACGTCATCGGACTGCTGCTTCTTGCTTCGGGTCTTTGCTTCTTGTTACTGGCAATCAGCATCTACTCGTACCAGTCCCAAGGCTGGGGTTCGCCGATGATCATCTCCTTCATTGTCATCGGCGTTCTGATGATTGTGGGATTTCTCATGTACGAGAAGTATCTCGCCCCCGTCACATTTCTCCCATGGCACCTCCTCACGGACCGGACTGTGGTGTTTACCAACTTGCTGGCCGGAACGCTGTACACGTCAGACGGCGTGGTCGCAGCTTACATCTACTCCATGCTCATCGTCGAGTTCCACCAGTCTGTCACGAATGCCACCTACATCAACAACATTGAGATGGTTGGCGCCTCCGTCTCGAACCTGCTCCTCGGGGTGGCGTTGCGGTACAACGGCCGCATCAAATACTACGCTCTCCTCCTTGGAGTACCCCTTTACATCCTCGGCGAAGGCCTCATGGTGGGCCTGCACATCCCCAACCCATCCGTCGGCGTCATGATCTTGTGCCAAATCCTTATCTCGTTCGGCAACGGCGTCATGTATCCGATCGAGCAGCTAACGCTCATGGCCGTGTCGCACGCGCACACTCCCGCTCTGCTGGCAGTGGAGACGACGATCGTGGCGTGCGGCAAGGGGGCGGGCTCTGCCATCGCAACAGCGATATGGACCGGGCTATTCCGGAAGAAGCTGGCGGCGCACCTGCCCTCGTCGGAGCTCACGAAGCTCGACAGTATCTACGGGAGTCTGGAGGTGCAGTCCTCGTACGCGGACGGAAGCGAGGCCAGGATGGCGATCGACCGGGCGTATGGAGAGACGCAGCGGGTCATATTCATCACGGGAACGTCCATTCTTGCGGCTGCGTGGATTTCGGTGCTGTTCTGGCGGGATATTGACGTCAAGAAGGCCAAGGGCGGTAGGCGCAGCTGATGATTTCCAGTGTCAGAGATAGAAACCAAAGCACCTGCCATACCGTATCTTCAGCTGTGAAGTTGAGTGGGAGGGACGGTCCTACTCCCGATGAGGCTTTCCTCGGACCTACCTCCTACCTGCCTCGCACCATCTGCGCCTGGGAAGCCGCTCTATCCTACCGTGCCTGCCTGGGTAAGGTACCTTAAGGAGGGCGCATAATCTCTGATTTGTGCTGCACTTCTCCCGCCCTTCTTCTCCCTCCATCGCACATCACAACATCAAACCTACAGCCGACCTCTCCAATCCTATGAAGCAATCTCCTTGACTCTCTTCCATCGTTTGTGGTATTTTATTTCATCTCCGCCTCTACCCTAGGCCTTCCTTACTAGTATCTGCACCTGCCACCACCAACACACGCCATGGCTACAAGTGACAACACGCACCAAGAGCAAGCCGTCGGCGTTGATGGCATTGCCCATCCCCATAGATCCCATTCCCACAGCTCAACAGGAACATTGGCCAAGTTCCCGCCGTCATTCTGCGGCTATTCCGTGGAAGGACCAAGGATACACTGGTGGCGACGCCGACGCGCACAGCATTACCTCCTGGGCCTTTCACCAGATAGGCCTTTGTTCAGTGTGCACTTCCACAATGGAACCTTTGTTCCCACAACCCACCACTATTGGACCAGCAACTTGAGGGGATCTGACAGATTCAGTTTTGACCTCCATGACGGACCTCACGCACACAGCCCTATAATGGCGACGGTTTCTGGAAGTCTGTGGGGCCCCTTGTTGTTCAAGCTCCCCCCTGCTGGGGATTTGCAAGAGTACTATCAAGAAGTCACCAGTTTCAACCGCTTCGACCGAGACCGAGACGGCGACATCCAGTGCTTGCCGTTCAAGATGAACATCAATGGGGTGACGGAGACATTCGAATGGAGAGCGACGAAGGTCAAGGAGCGCAGGGCACGCTATTGGTGGAGACGCCAACCCGCACACGAGCTTGTTCGGATAACAAACCTCAATCCCAGTGCTGGGGGCAAGCGAAGGAACAGACCAGTCGGTTACAGCTCCGACGGCGGCGAGATCGTTGCTGTGTTAAATGCGGGGCCCAAAATTACCTTCTTCGGAACAGGGCTGATGGGCGTTTTCGGGGAGAGGTGGGAAATAATGGTGGCTGTTACTGGATTCACAGTTTGGTTGGTCAAACACTGGGCATACGAATATGCGGCAGCCCGCAGTGCTCAAATAAATGCAAATGCGCAGACGGCTCAGAGAAGCAGTACGCGTTGGGGAGCCTGTGCAAGCTCGAGGCAAACGTATACAGCGCCCAGCTCGTGTACAACGAGCAGCTCGTGGCATCCGTGTACTTCGACGACCACCCATTGTCCTTATTAGGCTGGCGTTAGAATTCAGTCTACCCTAGGTCCCCTTTGTATCGTTGAACTTGCTTCCATGCCTCGCAAAAGTGAAGATGACGTGAAAATACAAAAAGAATTGACCAGCCTGGGGGTCGAACCCAGAATCTCCTGATGTCACGTTAAATCGTAGTCAGACGCCTTGCCATTGGGCCAACCGGCCAGTTGTGGTAATCACAGAGAGGAAATGTCCTTCTGTGGCCGTGGTGAGGTGCGGGGCAACACAAGTAGTTTTTGTCCATATCCCGAATGCCGAGTCATGCCCTTCACGCAAAAAAGTGGATGGCATCTTTGTCGTCTCTCTCCGAAGCATCAAAACCAGGCAGCTTTCCACAGACATTCCGTTTCTGTCATCGTCGTCGTCGTCACGTGGTCATTCACCTCAGAGATGCATCATCATAACGTTTCGTGCCATTACTAGTTCTAGCCATGAACATTCATAGGGCTCGGCGGCCCTTCTAGCCAAGTTTCGATTCAGTCATCATCGGCCCATCAAAAACCAACGCGCTCCAACACGAAGGCGAACTTGAAGTCTCCTACATGCACCTTGAGATCTTCACGGACGTTAGGACCACAAGCAGCGGTGCCTACACCGGCAACGCGGGCATCAAGACGCAGAAGGGTGGCGTCCTCTTCAAAGAGATCGCACGGGTGCGCGGCGTTTTGGACAGTCTCGGTCTTGTAGTGGCTGACCTGGAAACTGAACTGGCGCCACTCCTCCTCAGACCACAGCGCAGCATCAGCCGGGGTGGCGCGGATACCGCGGCCGTAGCCCTCGGTGAGCTTTACATAGCGGGTCTCCAGATGGTTGCCGCCCTCCTGAGGCACCTCGTAGTGCTGGTGCAGCTCCGGAACGGTCGCCTGGTATACGCCGAGGCGCTGACTGGACTTCTTGTCGGGGTATGACTCGCCGGGGCCAAGGGCGAGGTACTTGACGTTGTTAAGAGCCTTGGGCAGGCGGAGGTTGAGACCAACGCGGGGGATGTGCGTAGGCTTGATGCCTCTTGGCTTCAGGTCGACGGCAATGGTAAGACGACCGGCAGCGTCAATAGTATACGTGGTCACAGTATTCCAGCCCCAATCCAAGATGCGAGGGCTGAGGTAGGTGGTTGCAATGATCTCCACCTTCTCAGCAGACTCGTTGATCTTGAGAGAACGCAGAGTGCTGTCGAAGGCGTTGACGCCATAGCGGACCCAGTAGGGTACATCATTGGGCTTGTCATTGTCGGTAGGGGCTCTCCAGAAGTTGGGAGAAATAGCGGCATTAGTGGACGCATCCTTCTCGAGGAGCGGCACCCCGGCGGCAGTCCAAGAGGTGAGGTAGCCGCGGGCCGTGTCAAATGTGAAGGTGAAGTCGGAACCGGAGATGATTGCTGTTGAGCGAACTTGCTTGACCTGCAGCTTGGAGCTGAGCGTATCGTGACCGAGTTTGGGAACGAGTGCGACGCCGGACAGCTTGTGCTGAATCCAGGCAATCTCGTGAGCGGGCTCCGCCCAGTTGGTAGAGTCCTTCAGACGGAAGGTGATGGTGATGTAGACCTCCTTGTCAGATTTAATGCTCGAAAGGGAGGACGGCAGATCGACCTTGGCCGTCTCGCCAGCGGCGATCGTGGGAACCTCGAGGTTGCCAGCGGCGAGGAGAGCAGAGCTATGGTTCAATCGTTAGTACTCTGGCTTCGGTGCGTTACGCGTAGGTAGTAGTTGACTTACTTCTCACCCAACTCCTCCACCTTGTAGGAGGCGGAGAGGTGGTCGACGCCAACGTAGTCGTACTTGTTCCAGATGACGAGCTTGTTCCCTTCAACAGAGAGGGAGAGAGGCTGGTAAGCCTTCTTCAGCTCAATCAGACCAGGGGTAGGGTCATGGGTGCTGTGAAGAAGACCATCCATGACGAAGGTTCCGTCGTGAGGACGCTCGCCGAAGTCTCCGCCGTATGCGTAGTACTTCTTGCCGTCGGGATCTTCCTTCCAGATACCGTGGTTGGCCCATTCCCAGATGTAGCCACCCTGGAGACGAGGGAACTTCTCAAAAACCTCAATGTAGTCGTCCAGACCACCAGGGCCGTTGCCCATGGCGTGTCCGTACTCGCACAGAATGACTGGCTTGTCAAACTTGCCGTCTTCTTTGACTTGCTCGGTTGTGACGAGACGCGTCAGGCGGTCAATGGGAGGGTACATGTAAGAGAACATGTCGGCGGTCTCGGCATTGACATCTCCCTCGTAGTGAATCGGACGGCCGGGGTCAAACTTCTTGGCGTAGTGGTACATGACCTTATGGTTCTCGCCGTAGAATGCCTCGTTACCGAGAGACCACATGATGATGCTAGTGTGGTTCTTATCACGCTGAACCAGCTGGACCATACGGTCAAGGTAGGCCTCGCGCCAGACGGGGTTCTCGCTGGTGTACTTGCCAGCCTTGGGGAAGGTGACGGCCTTGCGCTCCTCGTAGTCGGCCTCCTCCTGAACGTCCTGCGGACGAGCGATGCAGTCGTAGAAGCCGTGGCACTCGAGATCGGCCTCGTCCATGACCCACAAACCGAGCTCGTCGGCAAGCTCGAAGAGCTTGGGGTGAGGGGGGTAGTGTGAGCATCGCAGGGAGTTGATGTTGTGAGTCTTCATTAGGAGAAGGTCGCGCTTGGCGTAGTCGAGGGGAACAGCGCGACCGAAGTGGGCGTGGTGTTCGTGGCGGTTGGTACCGCGGATGCGGATAGGGGTACCGTTGACAGAGATCAATCCATTCTTGAGCTCGACCTTGCGGAAGCCAATGTTCTGGAAGACTGTATGAGAGGCGAAGGTGATCTCGGCGCGGTAGAGGTAGGGCGTCTCAGCAGTCCACTTCTTGGGGTTTGTGACGGGGATGCTGAGCTCAACCTTGGAGTCGTTGGCGTTGACTTCGGCCTCCTTGGTGACAATCACGGCGCCGCCGTTCTTGCCCAGCTCGCTGAGAGTGAGCTTGACGGTGCCCTTTTCGGCGGCCTTGACGTCAACGGTGGCGAGAAGGGTGGCATTCTCGTACTTGTCGTCTAGGTCGGTGCGAAGGAAGAAGTCTTCGATTCTGGAAGGCTCAGGCACGGCCAAGAGGGTGACATCGCGGAAGATACCTATGCCAATTGGTTAGAGAAAAGAAAGACGACATGGACAGGGGTAAGGGTTCCATACCGGAAAGCCACCACTGGTCCTGGTCCTCGATGTAAGTGGCGTCAGACCATTGGTAGACTCTCACAAAGACCTCGTTGGGGCCATCCCGGTTGAGAATGCTCGTGACGTCGAACTCGGAAGCGTTGCGCGAGCCCTGGGCGAAACCAATGAGGACACCGTTGACCCAGATGTGATAGGCACTGTCGACACCATCGAATCTCAAGCGCAATTGAGACTTCTCGTCCCATGTGGAGGGGACGTGGAAAGTGCGTCTGTATGTGCCGGTGGGGTTCTCGCTGGGAACGTAGGGCGGGTCGACGGGGATAGGGAACTGGGTGTTGGTATACCACGGGTAGTCGTGGCCTTGGAGCTGCCAGTGTCCGGGGACGTTGATGGTTTCCCACTTGTCGTCCTTGTCGTCGGGCAACGGGGCCTCGCCAGGAGTGCCAGCGTAGTGGAAGTCCCAAACGCCATTGAGGAGTATGGAGGTCTCAGGAATGAAGTATGCGCGAGGGGGAAGGGTATTGCGACGGAACACCTCAGGGTTTTCGTAGTCGTGGACGCCCTCCTTTGCTTGGAGGGGTAAGCTTTGGGGGGCCATCGTGGCGGTTTCGGAGGAGGGGTAACGATGGCTTGGTAGACGGATTGAACGGCCAAGGGCGTGTCAGAGAGGAAGGACGACGACGATGATGACGACGACGATGGAGACGACGGCCAAAGACGAAGAAGAGAGAGGGAGACAAACGAAGGAGGAGGAGGAGGAGGGAGAGGGCAGACAAGTCGGCCGGCAACCCACGGTCGTAGGGTTATTTATTCACGCTCAAAGCTCCACGCGAAGTAACGTGTCTGGGGAAAGGGACTGCTATCCATCCAATCTGCAAGTTTGCTCTCGTGAAGCAGCGTTGTCCCGCCATAGGTACCTTAAGGTATGACGAGTGAACGTGGGGCAACTGCAGGCCGGTGCAGAGTGAGGTCCACGGGTGCTTCTTGCAAGTCGCTGCCCCTCACTGCTCTGTTCGGGGTAGCTCCGAGTCAGGCGGCCAGGCGGGTGGGTGGTCGGTGGTCGGTGTAACGAGGGAAACTACCCCGAGAGAGATACCTCTTCGCAGACATGCAGTGGAGGTCTTCGCGTTACCCCTCCACCCCTCGTCGGAGAAGGTCCGCACCAACCTAGAGTCCAAGGCCACAAGGGGCATAGCTTCCCCGGTCCGGGGGTGGTGGGCACTGATTAGGTGGGTTCGGGGAAGTCGGGGCCGGCCCCGCACCTTCGCAGCAGAGGACCACTGGACCTCGGGGGCTAACACCGCTGCAACATCTGCCACACACACACACTCACCCCCCCGACCCCCCCCAACCATCCATCTCCCTCCCTTCCCCTGTCCCTTACCCTCCAACCCTCCATCCATCCCATTCTGCAGACCCTGTTCGTCTAGTCTGATGTTCCAACGGACGGAAAGTTCTTTTGTCTTTTTACCCCAGATCGAATTCCGTCTAGACCCCCGGCTAATGTGGGCCGAGAACTGCAAGCGCACCCGTGTTGTCGGGCTGATGGTCGGCCGTGACTCTTGACACCCCAGGTTTTCTTCTTTTTTTGTGACCTTCTTCGAATGATCTGATGGCCCGAATGCGGGGAGAGCTTGTGTCTTGAACAGGCTGGGGTTGGTCGTCGCAGCATTTAAGAGGGCCATGTTATCGCCCTCTCCATCCTTCGTCTCCATCGATGGAACCCATCCAAGACTCGATCTCTCCACGTCTCTCCACTGTTCCTGACCACTTGGTCCACTTGGTGTGAGCCCGTGTTGGTCTGCCTACGCATAGATTGATACTTGGTATTATCTTGCATCTCAACCCACAATGTCCGCCGAGAAGTCCGACATGGCGGCCGGCGAACACGTCGCCGAGAGGCCCGGCCTCGCCGGTCCTTCGCCAGAGGTTCATGTCGATGCCGCCGTCCAGATCGCCCATGAGACCCAGGAAGGCCAGTACTCGCCTTGGACAAAGTCCATGTTCCGTCTTTACGGCATTC